CTTTCCGTGTCTCCTTTACTCTCTCTTCTCTTTTCCCTACCTCGATCGCTCGCTCACCCTCCCAATTCCTGGCTGGCTGTTCTCTCCTTCTTTAAAATGCGTAGCTCCAATGCTGGGCTCTTAAAATCTCCCCGGCCCGTCTGGACTGCCACTCTTCCTCCACCACCACTACCAGCCCATTGTCTCTCCGGCTTCCAAGCCCTCCTCCCGGCTCCGTCTATCGGTCGCCTCCCCCCCCCCCGTCTTGTGTTTTCCCTCTCTTCTCTTCCAGAGAGCTCTTTCTCTCTCTCTCCACTTTCCTCTTTGTAATAATAATAATAATAATCTGCAAATATTTGAATTATATCAGAGTTGTTGCTGTGGAAGGAGCAGGCGGGGAGGTAGAATAGTGGAGAAGCGAGTGGTGGTGGAAGGAACGCAGCACTGAAGGCGCACAGTGGAAACTGACACCGTAACCAAAATGGCTCAGAGTTCGCCCGCCCCGCCAGCGTCACGTGGGGCTCCTCATTCCTTAAGGGTGGCCTGGGAATTAGTGTCGGTGTAGTCGGAGCAGTCAGCCTCCCTGTGACCCAATCCCGCGACTCGGATGCCTCCTCCCCCCTCGTGCGCCGCCCTCCCCTCCCCCTCTCCCTGCCCTCCGCCTGCTCTTCCGCCTCCCCCCTCCAGACACGCGCGCGCGCACATACTTCGCTAGTCCTCCTTTTTCCGCGGCACTCACGCGGCTGCCTGTTCCACCGCCTCCCGCTCTTCCTCACCCCCGCCCCGCGCACTCACTCACGCGCGTACAATGCCTTATTCCTTTCCTTCCCCCTTCCAGCTTACACACCTACTCCGCGCTACACACACTCGGTGCTCATTCGTCTCTCCCGATTTTACACGCCCTGTCACCTCGCGCGAGCAATCCCTTTCTCGCTTAACAAGGGCACGCAGAGATCTCTGTTTCTCCCTTTTCCTCTCTTGTTCTTGGCCAAATCTACTCTTTCATACAGAAAACCTACCTCCACCCCCTTCTTTTCAAGGCGTAATAAAGTGACGGCAACCACAGACAGACCTTTGGCTTCAGTCTCTCCACCCCGAGCTTCTGGTACTGAGGCTGCTCTGATCCTTTCTCCTACAGCCTGCCTCCCTTTCAGGGCACGCGCGCTCGGGGGCGCGCGCGCGCACACACACACACACACACACACACAGATACACACACACACACACACACACAGACACATACACAGACTGGCTCGCGCGCTACATTCACATACATAGACACACACATTGAAAAAGGTTGCCCACCATTTTAACAACCAGTATTGTGTGGCACGCCAGTTTCCACCTCAGCGCCTTTCCACAGAGCCTCTCCTTTGCCCCCAGACTACAGTTTGCTCTAGCCCTCACCTAGACTCTGGAATTCTTCTCCGACAACGCCGATCTAGATCGAGCTTTCTTCCTCCACCTCCTACGTCTTCCTGGGCACCTCAGTGTTAGGACACCTCAGAAATCTTAGAAAGACGGTCCAAAGGATATTATGAAAGTTGGGCTGGAAACTGGCTGCTAAAACCATCAACCCCGAGCGTCATCTCGGCCCTTCCACCTTCACTCCTTTCCGTTAGAACGGATTTTCCCGCTTTGGCATCCGGCCGCGTTTTCCCAGGTGCGCGCGACTTCTCCAGCCCCGGCGCAGATCCCATTCCCTTCTGGCGCAGCTCAGCACTACGCCTCCTTTCCACAAGTCCTTTACCTGGGCCAAGATCTCCGAGTCCTTTCTTTTCCTATTGAATCACAACCTTTTCATCTGAGATAGATTCAAGACAGAACCAAACTCTCCTTTCTCCATACATCTGTCTTCTTCTGAAGATAGAAGATACATCTGTCTTCTTCTACCCCTGCCCCCCAAAGTCCAAGCCCAGTATCGTTTCTCCCCAGGTGTCTATTTTCTTTTCCCTTCTCTCGCATACTACTTCATCCGTCTTCCCTCCTCAGTTTTTTGCCCCTTGTCAAAGTGCCACGAACGAGTATTCCGGATTTTTTCAGCCAATAAGGTCTAGAGTTTTATTTCACCGCCTCAAAATACCTCACTCTTTTTATTCCCCCCCCCCTTTGCTTATTGTTTTGAAGTCTCTCGCACGGATCACCTCATCCCCGTATCTAGTCCCACACATCCACCCTCACAAGCCCCATCCAGCCCCTGAAATTGCCCAGGCACACATTTTCTCGGTACTTTTTTTCCCTGCCTTTGGACACGCCTTCTCACTTCCCGCTTGCCTTCAGTGTATAAATTTAGTTCACCACAGATCTCTGGCACCCCGCATCTCGAATAGCTGATTCTAAAAGACTTAGGTGAGGGCGGTTTTCCAAATTTCTCACACCTCTCTACAGACCTTCGCAACTTCATCTCACACAATTACCCCATTTCACAAAGCCCAACTCCGGCGTCCCTATCTGTCTGACATGCATTCTTTGTCACAATATTTTCGTGTTCTTACATTTACTTTTCTCTTTTTGCACAATAGCAGAATCCCAAGTAGAGACACTAGTTTTGAGGGTAGTTGGTGGCAGCATAGTCTAGCTGGTCTATTTGTCCTTTTGTGTTCATAAGAACCAACTTGAAATTCTCCACCTCCTCAAGATCTTTCAGCTTCTTCTGCCCAGGATTGAAAGACTAAGTTGTTAAAACTATTGACCACTTATTGAGAAGTAAGCAATCCTATGGTAGGCATTCCATTTCCTATGAAGATAGTCTTTGCTTCATTTTGGGCAACCTTTTGCCTTGACAATTCTAAGGTGCCACCATTGGAAATTGTTGGGGCTCCTAACTGACTTATCATTTTCTTCCATCTTGGCAGGTCTTCATGAGATGCATATTGTAGATACCTGGGTGGATGAAGAGTGGAATGTTATTATAGGAAGGAAGCCGGCATCAGAAAATGACCAAATGACAAAGAACTGCATTGGAGAGCCCTGGGATTAATCCACTTTTCTGAAAGATTTGTTATCAAACTCACTTTGAAGTTAATAACGTGTCTTGTTCCTCCGTGCATTGCAAGCACCCTGGCAAACACTATAATTCTGCTATCAACCATTTATTGATATTAAAAGTATCATCTCCAACCAACCATCCAAAAGAGACTGTAATGAAAGAGGGCTTTTTCACTGTCCCTGACAGTTTGATTCACATGAATAATAGTTTTGATACAATATTGTCACTCTCAGATCCTGCAGAGATCGTGAAACTAAAGACAATGGTTAAAAAATATCCTTATATTCATCTCCAGGAAAATGATGAAAGGGGAAAGGAAATATTCCTGGAAGGTATCATTTCACAATAGTTTCAAACTTCTACCAGAGAAGGAAATCCACATTCAGTATCTTGCTGTAGATTTTACTGTACAATTCTGTTCAATCCAAGATTTGATTAACTTTCAACTTCAGAGCAACACATTCAAATGCAGTGGTTAGTGGAATAGGTTCCACTACTTTTATAGAATTTCTCGTATTTAGATTGAGAAGGGAAATGTCTTAAGTAGGAATGGCTAAGCACTCTGAATGGAATCTACATGCAACTACTATAAGCTCCCTTGATCAAGATCAACCAGAAAAAGTCTTTCCTTAATAGTCTTTCCTGACTTGTCACTCTCCCTCAGATGTGTTGGAATCTCAATCTTCATCATTCCTGCAAACATACAGAAGGCTAGATATAAAATACAGTTGGAAGGCAATAGTTTATGAAAAGCTATCTAGCAACATAAGAACCAGAAAAGGGAGTGGTGGTAGTGAGCAAGATATTTAAGGAAAGAAAATCCTTTGATATTTAAGGAAAGAAAATCCTTTATTCCCAGACTATCTTATACTTTCAAATGACCAAAGCTTTTTTGTTTTTTTTAAAAAACCACTCTGTTCTTCTCATCTATTAAAAAATATCCTGTTGGGGAATACAAAATATGAAGTAAGTAACTTCTTCTTTCTTCCTACTTTACTGCAGATGTAGTTCTCTCCAGATAATCTGGACTTTAACATTTTTCAGGGTGGCTAATGTCCTGAGTTGGAAAGTTTAGGCTAAGCCATTCCACTGTTTGCACACCCTCAAAAGCTATGAAGATGAGGATGATTATACTTTTCTCACTGTGTATGATGAATTAGTGGGACCACTGCCATGAATGACAGGTTATTCAACATCCTTAAGCAAGCAACCTTTATGTGGCAGATTTCTGTTGTTAAAAAGTAACAGAATCAGAGCTAGGTTGCTGAGTTTCCTTCTACCTCCTAGCAAGCCATTTTTTGTGCCTCAGAACATATTTTGTACTACACCACAGAGTGAAGACCGATATATATTTATAGCAAGCTTTTTCTAACTTGGTGGCACCATAGGACAAGATTAAATTCCTTTGCCTCTGCATCCTTATAGAAGACACTGGGATAATTCTCACAACCCACTGGGATAATTCTCACAACTGGCTCATCTAGATTTTCCACCCTCTCCACATAGCAAAAACCACTTACAAGATAGAAGGAAAATGAGAACTCAAGTCTTTGTGCATCCCACTCTCCAAATATTCCAGATTGACATTGCTGGCTCTCTACTAGGTTAGGTGTGTAAGTTTAGCTCACACTGCAACTTGGGGATAAGATTTTTTGTTTTGTTTTTTGAGCCATGGAGACAAGACTGATCATATTCTATTTATAATCATTCAATTGCTGCAATTCAGGACACTCCAACTATTTTCTATTTGCAGAAATGATTGAATATTAATAAGTAAACCAAGCTAAGGCAGATGAGTGATAGAATCTTCTCAACTTTTCACATAAATAACTCCAACATTAAAAAAGGGGGGAGGGGAATAGCAGGAACTGGTGCAAGCAAGGTGATAACTTTATTACAGTAGAATGACTTTAAACCCAGAACTCTACATCTCTTTAACATGGTTTTTACTGAGTGGGTCTTCTTGGAATAATATAACTGCTAGGAATCCAATCCCTCCAACCCATTATTATAAACAGATAAGACACACAAATTAGATTTATATTTTGTTTATTAGATGATAAAAGTAAAAATGGTGAAATCAAAGATTTATTTTAAAAAAGGGCAAAACTGAGACACAAGCAGAAATTTAAAAAGTGTATTACTATCTAAACAGATATGTTACAGTTAAACAACAAGCTCAACAGTTTTTATTACACACAAACTTGTAATGTTATGTAGAAAGTAAAAAAGTCAATTTCTGTTTGCTCAAACATATATCACAGTTCCATTAAATAAAACCAGGAAAAAAAGATCATCATATAGTCAAAGAAGTAACCATTTTCTTTTCTTCTTCAATCCAGTTGATTGTCAAGTCTGTAATTATAGTTGAGTTGTTCTTTCTAGACTTTTAGCTGCATCTTTTAACTTTCCCACTAAATCCTAAAATATAGAATAAGAGCTTAAGAAAATAAATATTTTTCTGTAAATAACCTATTCTATGCAATATTAGAAGTTTTCTTTATACCAAAATTTCCAGTGATTTAAAAATGCATTTTTTGCCATTGATAATTTTAAGAAATACTGAAGCTTCTTCCTTAGAATATATAATGAATGTGCTTTATCACATATAAAATTAAGGAGTTTGAACTGGGACAGATAGGTTGATAAATAATATAAATTGTATTTTTCTTATTTGTCAAGTAACACAGAGAACAATATAAATTCCTAGTTTAATAGAATATACAGAAATAAACTCAATAATTTTCTGATTTTTAGATGTTTTATACACACACACACACACACACACACACACATACATATACATATATAATGTTAAACCAATATGAAATTGTAGACAGTTGCTTATTTCTTAATTTCTCTGGTTTGGGCAAGTTTAGTCCTTTTTTTCTTATTAATAAGTTTATTAGATAATGAAGCTTACTCCTAATGCAAGGGATTGCAACTTTATATTATTATTCTCAGATCAGTTGTTTTGATTTTAGTATAAATTAGCTGTAGATAATGGGGACTCAGTTATCAATATAGAGTAATTTAAATAAAGCTAAATAAGCCAAATTCCATGTTTATATTATATTATATTATATTACACATTCAAGTATATAATACAGGAAATGTATTTAGCATTTAGCACATTTGAAAGAGGTTCCATCCATTCTGCCAAAAATGATATTTTTGTGTAGTGCACTTAATATGAATCAACTTGAACTCTTATATTGAAAAAGTAAAAAAGCTAATATTTCTGTAATATTTTATATTTTAAAAGATGAGACAGTGAAGCATTTAATATTTTTTAGACTTTTATAAAGTCTAGTACTATTCAATATCAGTACAGAAAAAGTGAGGAAAAATACCTGCAATTGCTCCATAGAACAACTAAAATTAATGTCCTGATGAGATCTTGAATCATTGTTCTAAAATAACAAAATCCCAAACATTAGTTATTAATAAGTAACAAAAATTAAAACAATCATAATCTACTAATATTTGAATTCTGGATGGATATAATACCTCTACTTTTAAGGTCATCAAATAGGCAGGGCAATAATTTTTATGAAGTTGATTAGTCTAAATGAAAAGACAGAAAGAAAAAAGTAAGTTTTGCAAATCAAAGAGAAAAATAAAGAAATTAATACACATTTTATTTAAAATTACCTTGATTTGATATTCCAAACGCCAACAAATATCAGTTATATGTAGTGGACATCTGCCTATACTGAAAAGATAATTAATATCTATTAGGCTAAGATATATTGAACTATAAAACTGTTGTGAGATTTTACAAAGAACAGTTAACAGCAATATATTAATTATGGTTTCATGGAGTAAGTAAGTTATCCCAATTAAATAAGTTGTGAAGACATTTATTATTTTTAAGATGCATTTGAAAGTTGGATGATCACTGTAACTTCCTTGGACATACCTTCCCAATATGATTTCCAAGGTATCCTTATGTTTCTACAAAAAGGAAAAGGATAAAAATAGAGCATGTAAACTACTATAGATTACACAAACTTAATGGAAGGTATTAAAAAAGATAAAATATGTTTGAAACCTGATATTCAGTGCAAAATTTTTCAATTCTTTCTCTGTCAAGTTTACAGTCTTCCAGATAGGTACTAAAAGGAAAAGTAAGATGTGCTCATCAATAAATCTAATATAAGTCAAACAATTTTTTTAAAAGTTGAAATGTTTTAGGATACCTTATTATAGACTTATCAGCTTTTTGTTTTCCAGCTTCTATTATACAAGTGGTAGCTGCTGCGTGGCAATATTTTAATATTGCTGGATCAATATGTTCCAAATCTGGGTAATCTAAAAATAAATGAATGGTTGATGACATGTTTTAGGAGGGTATATATATGAGAACTAAGTTCCATGCAATTATAGCAGCTGAGCAAACAGAAAGCTATTATATTGGCAAGATTTACAGTTACCATACTAATCACAATATTGGGAGAAGGATTTGTTTTCATATATCTTCCTTTATAATGAATTAAAGTAATGTTGGAATTTCAGGTTCCTTTCATTTCAAATGTGAATAATTTCCCCAAGATCTGAAACATGATATTAATTATTTCCAGCAACAACTAGATCTCGATTTATCCCAACAGCCAGAAAACACCAAAGAAAGGAAAGGGGCTTAGTCATTACTCCAGCAACAGTCTCCTATATTTTCCCAATTTCTGCCACCCATTCCTTGAATTACTAGCAAACAGAATTTGGGAAATAATCAGATTGATGAACGTCAGTGAACATTTATATTTTTAGAAACTTGCGATCTTCCGCTTGGGAGGAGAGGAAGAAGAATAAAAAGTCTTTTGCCAACTGAGGAGACTTTCTCAAAGTCCAGATAACCATGTGAAATGATTTTTTCGAATGCTAGAGGGAGTTAGCTTTTCTAACAATAGAGCTAAAAATACCGTGTCTCTATCCCCACCCCTTCACAGCTCAACTTTTCTGATTTTTCCTTTCTTTTTTTTCGCCGCGTCCCATTTAAAAAATCCGAACTGTTTTCCAAAGTTGCAGTTCAAACGAGCACCTAACGGAGGCCGCGCGTATTCAGCTCCAGTTCCCGCAGAGCTCTTCTCCAGGCAAGCGGCAAACTCGGTTTTTCTCCGGAGAGAGGCGACGGCCTACTCTCAATAAACTGCGCAGTTTGGCAAACAGCTGACAAAGTCCAATTGTCGGAGAATTTCAATTTGAAAAACAGAAAAAAAAAATATCCAGAAAAAAGGCATGAAAACAAATGAGCGGCGTTTTTCAGCTAGAAGATTAAGAGCAATTCATTTATTACTGGCACTGAGCAATTCGAATGAATAATATCACAGTATCACATGATCACAACAAAGCCTACGGGATCCAGATCCCAAACGCAATTCGGTGCTTTCCTCAAGCATATTCACCCGCTTGCTGCTTTGACTTTTGCAAAAATTATTTCCGATTGTCAGTATACCGGGAATACCTCGCCGGAGCAGGAAAATTAAAAACAAAACGATGGAAACCAACTGACCACGATCATCAGAGAGGCGGAGGAAAGCGTCTCCAAATGGCATCTCTCTTTCTCGGTTTTTCTCAGTTTTTAGGCCATAAATAACCGAGAGGCACCCTTGCATTTTGCAAGGCAGTGACAACCGCGGGGAAATGGAGGAAATCAGCAAGTAGAGCAAAACCCCGAAAGAAACAAAGGGAGGGAGAGGGCGCAGAGCACCATCTGAGCGCGGCTCAGCGTGGGGGAGACTTCCTGCACTTGACGGGAAACGGCTGTGGCCGCCGCAGCTAAGCAGCCAGGCGTCAGGACTGGCTATAGAGCAGCGCCGAAGCAAGAGCGACCTTCCGTGCCGCCGCCACGCTTCCCTTAACCAGAGCCCAAGTCCCCTTTCAGCGTGCAGCTTTCTTCCTTGCCGGAGGACGGAAGATCGAGCCCGGGATCTAGCACTCACCGAAAACGGCCTCCTCGGCCTGGCCACTGAGCAAGCTCTGGAAGGCACCCTGGAGCAGAGCCTGGAAAGCTCGGAAAGAGAAGCTACCCGGATCAGCCAGGATCTGTAAGCCGCTTTGCACAGGCTCCGAAAGCTCCATTGTGAGCCGAGCTGTGACCTTCGACACGCCGCCCACGTGATAGCCGCGCTCAGCTGATCCTGCAGCCGAAGGAAAGCTCTGGGGGCGGCTGTTTGTTAAGATCCGGATTGGTGACTGCGGCTCTGCTTCCTTGCTGTGGGCTACATATACTAAACCTTAAACCTTTTCCCTGTGATCCAATGTACCCGTTTCCATTAAGCTCTTCGGTAGTGTTGTATTTCCTATCTCAAATGCAAGGTCAGCCATCTTCCTTTTCTTCTTGGTGCAAAAGACTTGTCCGGCTGCATATCTTACATTTTAACCTTTTAAAGGATCGTGGTCGCGATGCAATAGATGAGGAGGATCGAAACTTTAGTTTCAATTCTGTTATGGAATCGGCCTGGAAAACGATTCAAACAGCGTGGCTCAGAGTGGCTAGCTCTGAACGCTCCATGGGCTCCTCCAAGCACGCAACAGGCCTTTTGTTTTTCGTTCTGCAACTTTGGAGCTGAATTTACGGACAAATAATTTTAAACGTTCAGAATGGTAAAATTACAAAAGACATTGTAAATTAAAAATGATAACTGTGGTTAAGTATTTCCCTTCATTTTCTTGCGTCTAGCTGTTATTTACATAATATTTATTATTCTCTTTTATATACTGGCAGAATGTCATAATCTACAAATGCCTTATAAATGACCATATTTCCTTGTTTTCTCTAAATAATACAAATATTTTGCTATCATTTATCATTGTCTAATAGATTGTAGCATTTGAAATTTAGATTTATGTAGAGCAGTTAATAAAGGTAAAGGGCAAGGCATTTTTGTATATGGTACGTACAGTTTTCTTGAGTTTACTCATAGTCCATTATGAATATGAAATGTTGCTAATTTTTTAATGAACATATTATTCTATGATTATGTCCTGTTTCATATTATATTTAGGTTTACAGATAATGTCAGTTCATATAGTGAACTTAATTGGGTAAGAAGTATGCTTGAGAGCCTAGGAGAGTAAGATTTATGTTCAAATCAAATTATCTATCTGTCTGTCTAACTGAACTGTACTTCTAATTAAACTATTATGACCAATTTAATTGAGTTGAACATATAATTCTGAAAAAAGATAGTTACACGTTTGATTATTTTTTATGTACCGTCTTGAGTACTTGCAAAAATGGTTAGTAAAATATTGTAATTAGAAAAATAACAATGTTACAAGATAATAAAAATCAAACTATGAGGCACATTCAAGAGAGTATGTTTCTTGCTAGAGTTTGAGTGGACGTAGACTTCTAATGCAATTCCCCTTAGGTCGTTTCTATAATATCAAACTGGATTATATGTGATTTATATATTTTTTTATTTGTAGGACTAAGTTTGTTGGTTTTTCAGTATTTAGCCAATAATGACAAGCAGAGTGTCCTGATAGATATTTGGAGGGTGGCCAAAGAAATTCTTTGACAATAGGCTTTCAAAGAAGGTGAAAGGAAGATGGCAGTGGCAAAATACCTCCAAGAAAACAACACCAACATATCCATGATGGAACTTGAGCTGAAGAAGACATTTTTGGTTGTGGTTGTTCTAAATAACTAAACTAACTTGGTAGAAACCCAGTACTATTAATACACTGAATTATTAATAGTAATATCTGCTATTTTCTTGTAGATTTCTGAATTCATCATTTTTTTATTTTAGATAAAACTCAGGTATCATTTAATCTTTGTTGTTTATTTGTTTGTTTCTTCATATTTATATTAGCCCTGTTATAAACAGATGGCAATGGCACTGAATAAATGTTACTATACAAAATAATTCAGGCTGCTTTGGGGAGTCAGTCCTGTTGAATTTAGTGGAACTTCTACCTAGTTAATTTAGTGATAAGTGTTTCATTAGTTTTGAAGGGATCATGGATTCCACCATGATTAGGATGTTACCATGACAACAGGTAATTCATTTTGCATTCCATATCCTAATGCAGCTGTGGTTAATGTACCATTCCAATTTATAGGGATGCACGAATCTATCTACCTACCTACCTACCTACCTACTTACCTACCTATCAAAATTTCATAGGTATACCTGCCAATTCCCATCATAAATAAATCACAAATTCCGTGTTTTCCTCAAACAAAATTTCCTTTAGATGTGTTTAAGTTTCTTGGATTCAAAGACCTTTTGTTGTATTTGCATTACCCTATTTTAGCAATATTGTGACTAGTCTCTACAATGCATACTGTCTCTTTTGTTTCACAGTATTGCTCTGCCTACTAAAGGAAAACCACAAGCCCTTCTTATATTATGACTACTGCATGGAAATCCCCCGTAACAAAATATTTAATGCTACTTTGAAAACTTAATAAGACTGTTATACATCCTAACATTCAGACAAGCCTAAGGGAGAAAAAATAGATTATGGCTGCACTTATTATTATTTAAAATTAACTATCAGCTTGCAGCCTATTTTCCTCAGGGTAATTATAAAAGAAAATCTATGAGTTTCTATTGAAAATATTGCATGCATGAGCTGATTAAACAGTATGGCATACTACATATCTGGAGTTTTTAAAATGACTTAATGGTAGTTAATAGGGAATTAATATTTGAGTAAATATGGTTTGACTTTCTAAGCATAAATAATGACAGGGATTTTTTGTATTCAGTTTTAGATTATTTCAATTCTTTTGATTTCCAGGGGAGATTTGTATTTAAGTTTTTGTAATGTAATTAATACAATTTAATTGGGACTAATAGCTTAAAAGAGAAGTTATCAGTCAGCAGCAATTCTTGATACTCATTTTAAATAACGATACTGATTTGGGCTTTGGGTTCTTATTCATTCATTCAGAGTAAAAGAGGATCTATATAACTTAGTTCTCAAACATTGATGAGTCAATTATGAGTCAGTGATTCTATTAAACTGTTAGTCTGCTGACTTAGTGATTTTACTTATATGTACATAGCATTGCTTTAATATTTAAAAATGAGCAACTTTTTAAGTGTTCTCTTTCTCTATAATTGAATGTTGAAGTTATAAGGAAAATAAAATCCTCTTTATAGACCACTTTTATAGTACCATTTATTAGGAAGAACACTGCAATTTTTAATGTACACACATACTCATAATTATTATTGTAGGATATATAATTATCATTCTTTGTTATTAGGCAAACAGTGTAAACTCTTTCACTATCTTTAGTTATTCATAATGATATTTTCTCCTAATTAGCATAACAAAAGTATTGAAAATTATCCTTAACTTAGGAAATGGTCTTTGCCTTTCAAACTGTAATTTGAAAGTTTAAATTCTGTAATTTAAACTGTAGTGCAGTTTAAATTCTGAAATGCTTACATTAAGTTGATATAATTGCAACTAATTTAATTGCTAATTGATGCTTTTGTTTGTCTTAAATTTGGGGTTTTGATAAGTGGCCTAGAAATACAGAGATCATAATAAAAATATTTGTAAACATAAAAGTTTTAACTTATTTTTTCATTTTTGAAAAGGTATCTTTGATTCTTAAAGAATAGAAATATTGTTAATTACTTGTTTCATTTTCTATCTTTCCATATATAGAATGAAGAATAGCCATGATTATTTAAAGAAACAAGGGGCAATTGGAAATAAATATTGATTGAAAGAAATACAGCATCATTTATAATACCACTTTCTTACTTTTTCTTACATTTAATGCTTAACAATAGAATGTATAAAATTACATAGGATGACATTTTTACTCATTGTTTGGACTGGATTTGGTTAAAGAGAATCCTACTAGAGCTGGTGCAATATTCAGCTTCTTTACTATAGTGAATTCTAAAAATCCATTTAGTAAAGATATCGTGAAGAAAATAGTGGCATGAGCAGAACCAATTCATAGAACCTTCTCAGGTTATTCTAGGGCAAGAGGACCATGAAATACTGTTTAAGAAATGCTATACCAGATCATTCTTAACAAGACATCTTAAAGTAGTTTTGAAGCTCAGAGCTCTTGGAAGGAAGTCAGTAATAAAATAAATGCAATTCAATGGATTTTTTTTTTTACATTATCAGAGATGCTGATGGTTCAACAATTCTGTTTAGATTTATACTTTTTTATATAAAGTTCCTTATGATGTAGTTTATTCCACATGCGAATCAATCAGACTTTAGTACATGTGGATTATATATTAGATTGCTATCATATGTACATTTACCTTGAAATTGAGTTTATAAAACATATAAGGGTGCTTTGTAACTTATCTTGGAGACAATGCAAAGTATTTTTAAAAGATGAAATGGTTTGAATGTATAAATTATTATACATTCATTGTTTAAAAATTCATCTTTTAGAATATTTTTTATCTCACCAAGCAGGCAAGCAAGCTGACATATCTGATCTGTTCTGTTAACAAAATATCATTTTTATTATATTATCTTAAATTTAATATGATTAAAACTATTGGAGAAAAATATTTTAATGTGATTAAAGCTATTAAAGAAAAAAATGTTAAGTATTTTTTTAAATAAAAATATTCATTGTTTGTTTAGCTAGACCTTGATGCCCATCTGTTCTGCCCAATATGTTTATTTCTAAGTACATGTAGTTCAGCCACATTATATTTATGTCTCTCAAAAGTAGATCCATTATGGGATTTTTTGGTTAACTTTTTATTTTTTTTCCCACTTGACATTCTTTGGCCCATAGGACATACTAAGAAGGACTCTAATCTTGCAAATGTATGAGCATCATTATTTTTATAATTAAAATAGGAAAATACTTCTGAAAGAAAATACAACTTCCTAGGCACCATTGGAAGTCTGACTGTTCAAAGGTAGAAGTGACCACTGATTGCCAGAAAAATTACATGATCAAAGAATGTTCACAACTAAGAAATGCATGAAAGTTTCATATTCCAAGTAGGACACAATTATTAAAATCAATAATTAGCAAATCAGTGGCAGCTGCTATTTTGCTAGTAAGTTGACCTGTTTTTATAGTATTTGCTGCCATCATTTTTTCACTTGCCAATGACTGTTGACAGGGTATTAGGGTTTTCTTTCAACAGATTAGTCTCCTTGCTGTGCAGCCTCTGAAATTTATCATTTCCATACAGATTTTTAAAAGAACTAGTCATAAATATAAAGGAGACTATAACTCTTCAATTAGTAAATGGAAATTGCATTTTAGATGTTTAATGGGTTAGGTGTGGGAACTATTTCATAGAGAAGTCTAAGAATTACAGTATATCTTATCTTTTGAGTAAAACCACAATATTATTGTGACCTATTTAAATACAACATTAATTGTAGTTGGAAAATATCACTTTGTTCAGCACAGGCACTAATGTGAAGGAGCATAAGATAAATACTAAACAATGTTTTGATTTGTTTGAAGAAATGAGACCACACAGCAGCTACAGTGTTTTCTAGTGAAGACCAAACCTATGTGCACTATGAAGACAGTCTAATATTTATACATCAGCATGGAAAGATACACACCAAAAATTATTTTTCAATAACCTATGAAGAATTGGCAGATATCAAGGGTCAAAATTTTTTAGAAAAATTATGGACTCTCTACAGAACATAAATTTGCTTTTCTCTGCATCTTTTAATGGCTTACAGGAAAGCTTAGATTCCCATCTGTTTTTGTTAATGATCTCTGCACCAAAGAGAAGGTGATAATCATGGAGAATGTCCTACCCATAATAGTTTATCCAAAAGGGAACAGCTCTCAACTCCAACATCTGGTGCTTTATCTCATGCGAATTAAACTTGGTGCATACAACATAATGTTTTGTTAATTATAATTTGATGAAGCAAAAATATCACTTATGCACACTGAGATAATATTTTTATTTTGATATTTTGTTGTCATCAAAGTGGAAGTTGAGTAGGGAAGGACTTTGGAACCACAAATCTATCGATGCAGCTGAGTTTTATTTTTTCATATCAGAAAAAAATAGAAAAAAAGAATAGTCCAAATATTGCAAACTTGTATTTTTGTACAAATGTGCCCATTAGGGGAAAAAAGATAGGAAACTTGCAACTAAATACAGTGAAACAGACATTATACAAAATTAATATAGTAGATCATCTCAAATATTGTGAGGCCTAACATCTCAGTTTAGGTTTGTTGTTTAATAGAACTGAATCACTTTGTGCTAGTGTATGTGTGTATGAAAAATCTAATATAGGGTAGCATGTGTGTGCACGCTTTCCTAGATTACTTTTTTTTCCTAGAAAAAAAGTAAAACCAGTTGGATGGGCCTGTTGCAGGAGAAAACAAATGAAATATTGTATGATTTGTGCACAGATCAGCTAATCAAGCAGAGCAATTTCACAACCTGAGGAAACCATGTAGCTTAATAACGGAATATAGATATTAATAGAACAGATCTAAATGTTGAAATAAAATTATCCAAAGTAATAGCAATAAACTTATAAATTAAATATCTCTGAAAGGCTTATTTCTTACATTTATTTCTATGGGAAAGAATTGGAGGAGCTAATTTGGGCAAAATAATTGCTATCTTAATAATATTTGAAAGAAAGATCCATTTTTAACTAAATATGATTTCTTTCTGAGGAGACTTAATGAAAGATTCCACTATTAGTGATGTTTCTAAAAA